TTGCATACTGCAGGCAGGGCAGGACAGCTGCCCCGCCGCCATCTGGGCCTGCTATTTGCCACCCGGGGCGGTGGGGCAGGACAGCGTCATCCTGCCTGCCCTGCCACCATCCGGGCCTGTTATCTGCGACCCAGGGCGGCAGGCATCTGTGTGCGACCTGACCCGGGGCGGCCCTTGTGCGACCTGACCTGGAGCCCCAACCCCCGGATCGGCCCTGCCATGTGCGTGACCCGGGGAGGCGGGCAGGCACTGAGGGAGGCGGGGCAGGCACTGCCATCTGCCACCTGGGAAGCAGGCCTAAGCCAGCAGGTGGTTGTCTCCCGAGGGGTCCCAGACTGTGAGAGGGCACAAGTGGGGGTGGGGGTATCCCTCCCCCACCAGTGCACAAATTTTTGTGCACCGGGCCTCTAGTAGTCAATAATATTGAGAGGGCACAAGTGGGGGTAGGGGGTATCCCTCCCCCACCAGTGCACAAATTTTTGTGCACCGGGCCTCTAGTAGTCAATAATATTGTAATTGTGTATGGTGCCAGTGGGTACTTAAAATATCAGGGGAAACACTTTGTAAAGTATATGATTCTCTAACCACTATGGTGTACACCTGAAACTAATACAAAGTAATATTTAAAAAAATAAAAATATAGTGGGAAAAAAACCATAAAGGCCATAATAAACTCACTAGAGGTTTTCTGAGGACCAGAGCATGGGCTCCATCCTGTTTCTGTCAGCCATTTACTGGTAAAATAACAAAAACGAAAAACAAAAACAACCTTTGACTTGCACAGCCATCTATAAATTGCAAAGGGAAATCAACTTGTGTGGGTTTGTATAACCCCTGCCCTAACAACATGTCTGCTGAGAAGAGCCCTCTAATTAAGTAAACATTTCATAGATCTAGAACTACATACAGATGCCTGGTTATGGCCACCACAGCTTTCCTAAAGCCTTACCCTGGACAAAATCTCATTTCAACTCTGGTAAGCATCTCCTCATATGCCCATCAAGGGAGCCAAGTGCAATTTTTCAGTGGGCTCAGAAAAAGGAAATGGGATATGCTCTCTCGGTGAGTAACTTACCATTAACTTTAAAAACCAGGGTGGCTGAGAAATAATTTCCACCCACTTCTTTCAAAGAAACCCCAAGGAAGCCTATGAGGGGCTGGTGTCCACTGAGATGGAATCAGAAACAAGAGTATTGTGGGAACTGTCTCCTGCCCCAGCTGACATGCAGAATGCAGGAGCCTTTCTATGGCATAGCCAGGGGTTAGGGAAGAGGCAAGAAAAAGAATGTCCACTTATAGCACCAACGCCAAAGGACTCCAAATCCATACATGCTTGACTCAAAATAAAGAACTGGAGAGAAACTTATAAAATCTTTTTTTCCCCAGAGTTTATGGTGTTTGTGTGTTTTAATCTGGTATAGAGGGCACAAAAATACTTATCAATATAAAATATTTTTACAGCTCCAAAATAGATTTACAAATATTTGTAAAGTTCATTCTTATGAGATTCATGTAGTTTTTCCTTGATATGGCAGTTTACAGAGATTGAAAACTAAAAGAGCTTTTTTATTAGAAAGACAATGGTACATATTAGCCCTTGCTAAAAGTATTTGATAAGAAAGAAGAGATATTTTTATTCCCAGCTAATTGTCACATGCAGTCTCTATTCTCTCTACTGCTTCATTCTCTCTGTGTCACTCTAGTATGCTTATCTCCCGAGTTTTCTCTGTCCATTTTTCCTCCTCTGTATATATCTGTGCCGTGGCTTCTGGCATCATTTCTTGTATTCCACTCTTCACTGGGACTCTGCTAAGACCATTTTCTTACTTTCCTTTCCTTGTAACTACTATGACTTCTGCTTCGGCTTCTCCTGCTCCTCTCATTTCTTTCAGATCCTCTGTTCTCTGGGCTGTGGTTATGGCTCCTGGACTTTTTGTCGAAATCAGAATAATTCCATTTGCTAGTCTCCCTAGAACTCTCTTGTTTTAAAAATCTTTGCTCTTCTTTGACTTTTTCCTTATTACAGTGATTGCTAGAAAGCTCTTCATAGTTTTCTCTTCATAGACTTGTTCTTTTCTTCTATATCACTGTTTTTCTTTCTTGAACATTTGTTTTTCTTTCTTTTCTTCTTTTGTATTTTTATTCTTTGTTGTCACTCTCACTGCTGCTTTCTGAAGTCTCACTGAAGGAGGAGAAGGAAGAGGAGAAGGAAGAGGGGGAGGGAGAGTAGGAGAAGGAAGAGGGGGAGGAAGATTTGTGTTTATGTTTTTTGTGTTTATTTCTACTCTTCTGAAGCTTTTTCTACCTTTTTTCTTTTTCTTGTTTTTCTTCTCAAGTTGATTCTATTTCCTGGGAAGTTTCTGGTTTTGTTTGGTTATTAGTAACTTTAAAAATTCGACTTCTGGATCTTCTTCACCCTCACTTGCAACATATTCCTATGATGAATCATTTGCGGTCAAGTTTCTCCAGAGTACATTTCATTTCAGTGCAAACCCACTGTTTCTCACCTCCACTATTAGCTCCGAGGGGTGCACTGATGGTCCTGAGCCATGGGTGGGAACTGAACTTGCACTGATTCCAGAAAGACCAAACAAAGGACATTCCCGATCTGTGTTGACATGACCCCATTTGTGACATTTAATGGACCTCACATGTCGAATCTGAAGGCCAAAGGGCTGATCTCGGATGTTCATGTCATCTTTGGCATATTTTTCTCATGGCGCTCCTTTCTGCCATTCAAATTTGTATTCAGTCTCTCCTGTTTCTTCTTTCTCTTCGTTTTCTTTTTTAGCTCCTGGTGGGGCCTCATACATGAAATTAAGGCCATTCTTTATATGCTCATCTCCCATAAGCAATCTATTATCATATGATTCTTGTTCTTTAAGATATTTTTGCATTATTCTTGTTTCTTCTTATCATATGACTAGGGGCCTGGTGCACGAAGATTCATGCATGGGGTGAGGGGGGCGGTCCTCAGGGAATCAACAGGGTGGAGCAAGCAGCTATGGCTGATCCTCAGCCCTGCCCTAAGGGGCCCCGCGTCTTAGTGTCCCGGTAATTGCTGCAAGCACCTCTGAGGGAAAGCCACCCTCAAGTTCCGAGTTCTGCCTGCTGCCAGACAGTCCAGTTTCTCCCTGTATGAGTCCTGGGTCCCCAGAGACTTCCCGGAACTGGAGTTCAGAGCAGTCGGGAGCTTGTGACTCCCTCCCGATTCAAAAAGACAGCTGCGTCCTCAGGTGCCCGCCCCTTTCCACGTGCGCTTGAGCCTCTGTACCTCTGCACTTTACTTCTGCAGCTCCTCTGAGTCTCAGTGTGCTTTTCTCTTTCCTTCTAGTTGTAGAATTTCCACTTGGCCAGCCTTCCTGTAGTTCTGGATGATGTCCGTTTTGTCTTTTCGTTGTATTTTTGAAGTGGTTGTGGGAGGCAGCACTTTCCGGTGTTTACCTATGCCGCCATCTTGGTTTCTCCCCGAACTATTATCTTTTAATATTTGAACAGCATCCTGGGAATGCAATAAATAATAATAACGAAAGTAGCTTATGTTTGTTGTAAGGTTCACTACTGGGGAAGAACTGTGCTATGTACTTCAAATGCAGTATCTCCATTACTCTTTTGCAAACTCTGAGGTAAATACCATATAATCCCATTTTCTAGATGAGGAAACTGGGGCAGAGAAAGGTAAAAGAAGACAGGATCACAAGACAGATGTGGGTTTGAACTCAAGAGGTCCACTTCCCAGAGACTGGGCCCTTAAGTCCTGCACAATATTCCATGTCACATCTATGCTCCAATTTTACTTACTGTGCTTCTCCCATATATGTGGGCCCATTCAAATCCTCAAGAAGAAAGGAAATGTCTCAGGTTGACCATAGCGCCCAAAGGGCTGAATGTCTTGATATTTAGGCCAAGTAGAACGTCTTGCCGTTTTAAGCTATGCTGGCTTAACTTTCACATTAAAAGTGAAATCTTGAAAGACCGTGCCCCATTGATATATTTAACTAATTGAGGAGGGAACCAACAGGGTAGACAAAAACAAAACAAAAACGCTGTTTTCTTGAATGCTTGACAAAAATGTGTGTGTTTGTGTGCACATATCTATATTACCCTGTTTGCTAAATAGATATAGAATAGTGAGGCAGTTAACAAACATGTAGGTTAGATCAAAACAAAACTACTTAACCTTTTCCGGGGCAATAAAACCTCTAACACTTTTGGAAGTGACTTCCATACCAGGTTCTAAAATCCTGCTGTCACATCCACTTCTGCAGGTTAAGTTACAACTAGCAACTTGGACTTTGTAATCCCTTCACCTTGTACACCTGAAACGAATAGATTATTGCATATCAACTGTAAATGAAAAAATTTTTAGAGTTTGTAAAGTTACAATCCACAGGACTGTGCACTGTTCTGGCCTTTCTCAGTTGTTTGTATAGGTACATCCCCCCCCTCCTGCGCGGAGGCTCCCCCCCCGCTGCCGCGGAGGCTGGGCAAAGAACAGAGGCCCCGCTTTTCCTAGCGAGGCTGATTGGGAAATGTTGGCAGGCACCTATTTTTCCAACTTTGGGGGTGGGAGTGGGG